GTTGGTTTACTTAAATAAACAAATAAATAAATCATTTCTAATGTGTTTTAAAAATGAAGCGCCATTGGAAAAAGTTAAAATTTATTTTAAAAGAAAGTTAATCAAATTTTCTTTGAACGTAAACTGCGAATTCTAAACTGTATCTATTGCAGTACAGTACAGTACATGCAATGAAATTTTTTAATTTGGGAATTTTAAAATGTTATATACCTATAAAATTTCTGAAATGTTTTACTTATTAATGGAAGAGATTCTGAAACAATTTTTATTTATGATTATCTTGAAAGGAAAACACAGAAATAGATCATATTTTCTTGTTAAAACAGACATGGCAAACTGTATCTTGAAGATCAAAATTCAGATAATCGATTACCTATCCCGGAATCTTTCAGGAAATACTTTGCAACAGAGAGTGGGATAAGGGATGAATTTTGGTAAGAACTTGAGTCTTTTCTCATCAATGTCACTACGGGGATGGTCGTCATGGAAACTAAATGCATCTCTTTCCGTCTGAAGATGCTGGACTTTCTCTTCTTATCTACTTTCCCGCGGATGATTTATTTTTTTCTAGAACTAGTTTTCTATCTTAGATCAATCTCTGGTTAACCGGTACTGTCATAATTACTTAAGTTTCGTATGGTATAAGTGCATCAATTTATCGATTTAGACTGCGGAAAAAATCATTTTTAATCTAAATTTTTAAATCTATCGGCAGCAGTACACTCAACCGGGAATATCTAAAACAAAAATTCACAGTTGGATAGATAAATAGTTCGTTTTCAAGTTTCTGTATATATAAACACAAAGAAAAACGACCGTATTACAAAATTATGTTAAAATTCCGATGAAGTAATAAAGTCTATGCTCTATAATTCTATTAATCATCAGCATACGTTACATCTGCATACATAAATCTACATTCTACGAATTAAAGTCTAGAAAATATATAAACTCGAAGTAGACGCGTAATATAATTTATGGCCCGAATTTTGTGATAAAATAAGAAGATAGCGATTGGTAAACACGATAAAATTTGTTATTATAAGCAACCTTTAATCTTCAGATAATGAATGTGGAAGAAAGTTTGATCCCCGAATGCAGATGTCTCATAAACATTGCGGATTTCAGAAAATGGCAGTCGCTTTGACAAATATTATCTTCGATAGCATTATTTGAATCTATTAAATGAAAAATAATTCCCTAAATAGAAAATTTAATTAAATTTTAAATCGTAATTTTATTGTCGGTAACATAAATAACTTTTTATAGTAGATTTTCTAAGTAAATTTTCCATGTTAAGATTGCATTGTTGCAAAAGGGGGGAAAAATACATATACCGACATTATAAGAACTAAATGTCATATTTTAATATTATTTTTGCACATATTTTTTTCTGTTTTTCGTTCGTTGATTATTATTTTCTTAACGAAAATACATTTTTCTTTAAATATTGAAGCATTAAATTATTAAAGTTTCAAGTATTAAAACTTAAATATTTGGATTAAAATATGAAAATAATATTTAGTTATTTATCTTGATTCTATGAATTTTAAATATAAATATTAAAAATTCATTAATAAATAATTTAAAATTTACAGTTTATTATTTATTTCCGTCTAGGATAACCCAGTGGATTTTAAAAAAGCACTATTCTCCTTATTAAAAATAGCTAATTTTCAAGTAAAATAAATTTTTTAGAAAGCAATTGGTTCATTTTAATGGCCTGATAACTTTTTCCATTGTAATTAATGTCAACATTAAATAGAAAATAACCTCCGAAAGTAATCGAGAAGTTCTTCCAAGGTTTTTTTTTTTAAGTTTTAGGAGTGTTTAATTTTCATACTTTTTATAATTATTTCAGAGAAAAAGTGCATAAAAATTTTTAAATTTAAATTTTATTATTGTATGATTTGTTGATGATGTCAGAGTTTAAACATTGCCGTAGTTACAGAGCGTAAAATGTTAGTCATCCAAAAATTTCTGGCAAAATCTTTTATGTACTTCATTTTCCGAATTTGCCAACAAAGTTAATAGCGTGCCAAGTTTGAAATTTTGCAAAAATCCGCATATAAAACGCATCCAACTAAATAAATATTAGTCCAAAAAGCTACGTAAGCGATTAAAATCAATACAGGTTGTTTTTTTAAAATTTTGTTATGAAATAAAAATCCCATTAACTAAAATATTTATCCTGTCAACAATACAATTTAAGAGAGTATTAGATGTGAATTCATTACATCACTTTTAATCCAGAAAATACTTAACATCCAATAAACGCATCTCATACGACCACATTCACAACCAAAGATCAAGAGTTAAAGTTAGAAATTAACCAATTACTATTCAGTTTACGTACTGTATGTAAACTCTTATTGGTTAACTTCTAACTCTACTCTTGATTCTTGGTTATGAATACGAACATTAAAGAAGCGAAGAGGAGAAAATGGTGCTGTTTTGAAACTTTAATTTGAAGTCTACATATTTGTCATTTATTCTACTTCTATTGTTCATTTATGGTAAATTTATAAATTTTAAGGTTAATAAATACGTTTCATTTATTATTTTAATGATATTCGCAGACGATTCTTTTAATTTTCCGAAATGGTTGCTCTTCTAAGTACTTCTATCATGCAAACAACATTTGGTTTTTCGAGCCATTGGGACAATAATTTTAAAACACATTAGAAGTATTCATTATGCCCGAAACAATAACAACCTTAAATCATCATCATCATTTATATATTCCGCGAGTATTCGCTATCTGTCAACTGAGAATTTTTTAGTCTATCTCTTGGCTAAAAGATGCAGCGATAGTTTTTTTTAATACCCTTTCATCATCAATCTTTCTCTCTTCGTATTATTTTATAAATATGTATTTTGTGAAAAAAATGGCGATATGACAGGCAGAAATTCTTCTAAATTTATAAAGTCATCCACGAAAAATTCTTACAAATTTATTCTTATTTATATTAAAATGTCATTGAAATTTATAATCTTTGCTTTTGGTCATATTGTGATAATGAAACAAATAAAAATTTAAAATGAACAAATTTTTATCATTGATCTGTTATATTTTCATCCACAATAAAATGCAATATGTAAATTACGCATTATATTTTATACCATTCACTTATATTGATTTCTGTCGATCATTTTACTCTATAAAAATATATTTATACCATTACAAGGTTATTTTGCCTTATCAAATAGCCAATGAATAAACCACATTTTCGTAGTATATGATGGAGAAAATCTATTTATTATCGCTTGAGAGTTTCGGGAAAAAAACTTTAAATTCACACAATTTACACCGTTTTCAGAAATCTTATTATATAAATAAAAAAGAATGACTCGTTCGTCGAAGATAATCGATAAAATTTACAGGAAAATAGGGATGTAGTTAAAGTATCTGTCGCAATTTAACATTTGTATAGCCTTCTATTACATCTTTACAGTCTTTAATAGAGTTTCTATACTTCTTTAGCAGTATTGTTGCCTATAAATAGAGTTCGAAAGGTAAAAAAATTTCTACATCTCGTCACATGATCGATATCGTCACAATTTCAGCGGGGATGTAATATTTTCTTTACGAATAGTTTTTTTATTTTATTTATTTTTTATAACGGTTTTTTTGTAGAATTGATCCATTGAACCGGACATATATTTAATTTTGGATTTTTTTTCTCTATTTCAGTGTCGAATTCGGTTCACGTTACTCGAAAGAAACTAATGGATGTTAACAACGGATGCGCACACGTAGAGAATACAGATAACAACAAACTAGAGATGGCCGTCTCCATAGCAACCGACGTCCTACTTTGAGAACTCAATCTCTAGAATCTTTTCGGCCAGATAACCATTCTTGTTTCATCAAATTTCGATGTAAATTTTTTACTCTTTCTCAAATTTCAATTTTTATAAACGAAAAGATTCTTATCCCACCCACATAAAGCATTTGATATCCAATGTTTTATCGCTTCGAACTCTAATGTTTTTAATCTTCGAGCGATTCATGCCGAGAACTCTCTGATGGAGAAGTTTACCAAAGACAAAATTCAGTCAAAAAAACTGAAATATTTAAACGATTTGAATGACATTTACGAATGATAAATGTAAGGGATGATATCGCATTTAGGTATGTAGAATATAGACTAGAATCTATAGATATAAAGCATTTTTAGAAGATGGATACTAAAAGCCATAAATATATAATATTTATGTGTAAATTATATCGATCATATTTCATTTAAAAATGATAAATACAATTTTAACTTTATGGAAAATGCTTCAAACATGCCACAAAACAGGACATTTAAAGAAAGAGGATTCAAATTTTTATACAGAAATATTCACTATTATTCATCATTTAAACTGTAAAAAAAAACATAAAAATATATTAAAAATCGCTTAGACATTTACGCCTAATATTGTATTCCAAATATATAGGGCTAAAAAAGGCTTTAGATAAGTGATTGTAAACTCATTTATCACGAAAATGAAATTATATTTCGTCCATTTCCTTGCATCTAATATTAGATTTGTGACTTTATTCCCATTCCTAAGTGAAAACAGTGAAAGATTATCACACCAGATCGTTTGAAGTTTACGAAATGGGCGTAAATCTATCATTTTCTACAGATATAAGCCTAAAAAAAGCACAAAATAAAATATTGTGTCAGAAATTTTCCCACACCATCGAACGTGTAGAAGGAAGGAGTTATGTCGATACCTTAGCTATATGAAATCTCTTACCTGGGAGTGTTATCGGCATTCTATATATAGAAAAAAAAAAAGGAAGCAGTCAGAAGTGAATGTTGGTGCCAATCTCTCTTTTCTTTTCTCAATCGAATAGCATAGAGCATCTCTGATTTCGCGACTCATATAGAAAATCCAATCCGAACTTATTTCATTAGGAATTGCGAGTCACATGACTGGGATAATAAAACAGAAGCAGAGGGAAAAAAAGGCGATTATTTCGAGACAGGAAAGAATTCACTCACCATATCTGCAGTTTTACTGGCATCCCATCTAAATTAATGATCTTCTGCTTAAAATCAATTCCTAAAAATTGGAAATAAAAAAAAAATTACTTCATTAGTTACGATATAAATTTTGAAAATTATATTTTGTAATATTGATTTTTTTTATTAATTTATTCTAGTAGAGTCGTATTTAAGTTAAAACTTTATTTAAAACTTGTCATGTTCTGACTTTTACTTTATATTTTTTTTTTATTGGATTTTAAACCAAAAGAAAAATCTAACATCAAAATTCTCTTCAATTATCGATTCATATTCAGAAAGCATTTTAATAGAATTTTTCAAAAAATAGATTTGATAATAAAAAAAAAGATTTTTTTATTTTTATTCCTTAAATTTTCCGAATGAATTCGGTATTCTCGTCTCTATTCCTGAAGATAATGTTACACATTCTGACGTAATCACATTTGCAACATTGGCAAACCGGTCGCTGTTTGTTTCCATGGTGATTGTATTCTATTAAATTCGTCACTACATCACACAAAAGAGAGCAAAAGAAAAAAAATTTTAAGAAAATTTAAAATGTTTTCAAATGTAAGTAAATATCGTTCTGATTGGTCAAATCCCGCATACGACTAGACGAGAATACAAGGGTTGTTATCCCACCAATGGGATGCCTAATGATGTTAAAAAGCGCCCAATAAGATTAATGAAGCGATTTAAAATGATTTAAAAAAAAAGAAAGTCGGCGACGGCAATTAACTAGCCTTTGTCAAATAGCCAACTAACTTGTACTGACACCAAATAGGCCACTGAAGTATTAATATCGGTCATTTTACGACGTAGTAAATCACGTGATGTCTTCAGGAACGGAAGCAACACAATGACATCCGTAAATCACGTGATTTTACTAGCACGTTGATGGAAATGACTTTCTTTCCACAAGGTCGTTCCATTCGATCATTTACTCCAACATAAAAAAGTAAATTCGTACAACACCAGTCAATAGACTCTCAAACTACTCCGAACTGAATTAAAAGAGACGAAATTACGTTTAAATACAATTGTGAAACTTCCGTTCTGGATAAACAATTATGTCTTTCTAGAATAATAAGTTATCTAAAAGGGCAAGAGATATTTTTATCAAGGCAATATACTGGATGATGTTAAGTGATTTTATGTGGAGACAAAAATGAAGCACAGTATATTGAACAAACGAACAGAATACTGATACTTGATAAGGTAATCGAAGAAGTAATTTTCCTATCATTATTCCTTGTTATCTCTCAGAGCTGGTAATTATTTATAATTAAATCTAGACTAATATTACAATTAAGTTTGCAGCATCCTGTTAAGAAGAGGAGAAAAACACGAATAAATATTTTAGAAAAAATAGTTTTAAAATTGTACAAATTTTCGAGTCTATTCGTGAAATGATGTTTTCAACAACGTTAGAATTTTAATTCATTCATTTAAATTCTTTCCATGTTAACTTGTATCGCATATAAATTGAAATTTCTAACTGTAAAATGTCTAAACAGAGTAGCGTATTATTAGATTTATAGTAAACTAATTTTAACATTTTACGTTTAAATAAATATTGTTATTATAATTGAAATGTATTTAATCGCTTTATTATACTGTTAATTCCATTAACATTGCCAATTTTCGAAGTTTATACAATGTTTCATTTAATGATACTGCGCTTATTCAATACCTTCTTATTAATGCATTTTTTTCGTCGAATTTAACCGAAATGAACTTTCAAGAAAAGCAAATTTAAAATTTTAATATTAAAATATGCATGATAAGTATGTTTCCGTATAAAACGATTCTTCTTTGTGGGCAGGTGCACCTTCCGGTCAATAAACGGAAGTCACTTCCTTTCGACGGAAGTCACTTCCTTTTCAAACACCAGACAAATATTAAACGTAGATAAACATAATAGAATAAATTTTTGTAAATATATCAATAAAACAATCTAATTGTGAAGAAACTAGCTTATATTCATACAATTTTAGACGAAAAATGTAATAATTTTAAAATTATATAATCATTTTTAATATTTACCCAACTTGGAATATATTTTATGTAGAATTTATAATGATTTATTAAATTAAAATTTAAGTTGTATTAGTAAGAATATTATAAATTCAAATTTAAGTCAGTGCCTGCAATTCACACTTTCCTGTAAGAATATCTGCTGTTATAAGAAGCAGAACTTTTCCACAACATTTTCATCTTAACTTGTAACATAGCTTTTGTAAATTGAAAGAGAATTTGGTAGAATTTATTATTATTGTTTACTATGAATATTATAGCAAAATAATGTGTGAATTCTATTAATAAACAGAGTTTATAAATGTTTAAAGATGTTTTCTGTTTACAAGCTTGGATTGGAATATTTATGTAAGTAGAGATTGAAGCCAAAAGTAGCTCTTATCACTTCTGCAAATGAAGTGAATTTTGTGTTTGTGAAGACCCTCTAAACGCAGTTGCCTTTAACCTCCTAATCTAAGTCAACAGTTGATAGAATTGATCGCATGTTCTCCCCAAACCTGATTATATGTTCTCGTGGAAGCGAACAGAATTGTATTATGAAGCGTAAAGTCCGATGAATCATCCTCTTTGGCTGATTCATACAGTAAAGAATAAGGAACTGTAGGGTAAAAATCTGTGTCACGTCTCTTTTCAGAGCAGCTGACGGGTGATTCAGCTCTTTATTCGGGCAAACAATAACAGGAAACATACTATTATTTATTTAAATATATATTATCATTAGATAAAATTTGCAATTAAAATAAATAATAAAATAAAAACTATTATATTGATGTGAAGACGATGCGAAAAGTTCGGCATCTTCTCCGCATTATTTTTCTTCGCACCACCATAAACATTACCATTAAACCGGCTGGAAAATAAATAAAAAAAAGAACTCACCGATAGTAGATATGTATGTATCGTAGAATCTTTCATCGCAGAATCTGTGAACGATGCATGTTTTACCGACGTTACTATCCCCCAATACCAGTATTTTATATGTAGCTGCGAAATCGACGGCCATCATAGACAGTCAGCCATCAGGCATATCAGTCGCTACAGGATCCAACCTGGATCAATACGAGGCCTGTGACGTCATTGCTCAGAGGCGCCACTCGTTTTATTCCAAGTGAAAAATTCGAATGCAGCCTAAAATATTGCACACAACACTCGAAATATAACGCGTTACGTTTCTATCTTTCTATGCAATACGCTTATCACACTCGCTATTCTGACCTATATACTCGTATATACAGTACGTAATTAAACCGGAATGCGGTAGACGTCGGCAGAATTTCGTAAATTCATTCGACGAATGAAAGAATTTTATCCAAAAATCACTGTTTATATCTCTAGTTAATTCTCGTAATTCCGATATTGTTTGCGCATACAGAATAATACATAGAGGTATGCTGTTCAAAATTTTATGGAGTCATAAATGTACGCTTGAACGAATAACATTCCGTACACAGTTGCAATTTGTCTTTTGTCTAATGTCAGTATGACTCACGCTATCTCCCAGCAGAGAACACCGGCTGACCCACGGGGACTCGAAAGTCCTTTCACGAATGATAAAATAATCCCAAACTGGTGAAAGAGCTTTAATCTAACGATCTTGTCGACTAGAGAAAATCAACAAATCTATCTTAATGAGAGATTTTTCATATTTTAAATCTTAATTAAACTTAAAACAAATTTGTAATCGTAACAATACGTATAATTATACAGTAATTAAATTGTTTGTTTCGAATTTAATTCACTCAGTAAATAATAAAAATTTTTCATTAAACACTTACTTTTGACTTTATTTTAAAGTATAAAAAAGAGCTTAATGTGAAGCGAACTTTATGAAAATGGCTTTTTCTGTTTATTGTTTAGCAAAATTCTATTTCATAATTACGAAAAGCAATCAATATTCTTCGTTTGTCAGAAATTTAATCTCATTTGTACTAATTTTTTTTTCGTAAAGCATAAAAAAAAAATGCTTTATCGCATTAATTTTGTAATAAAATATAGCGATATTCAAATGCAATATTTACTCAAAACACGATTATTGACTACTCTTTGAATATTTATTTCATTTTTCTGTTATAGAAAAAACCATTTTCTCAGAAATGCTTTTTATATCTTTCATTTATCTAAATGCATGCAAACATGGTTTATTTTGTTTTTATTACAAAAATATCGCATTAATATCGGCACTAAACTTTAAATAATATTTTTTTATTCTTTAAACATAACTAAATATAATTTACTAACAGCCTATAGCTAGTGAGGACATTCTTACTCTTTTTAGATATAGTAGGTGACTATTTTACTATAAATTTATAATTCTCGAAATAGATTTATTTATAAAATAAGTTAAATTCTGAATAATATATTATAATAAAATATAAAATAAGAGACATGTAACGATTATATCAAAGATTTTTACCGACGGAGGAAGTAGAAAATTATTTCTTAATCGAATTAAAATAACTTATTATGCTAACTTCATACAAAATACATTTTAGATATTAATTGCAGTATATATTAATATGGTTTTTTCTTCAGGTATTTTTCTGTTTCTTACGTTCAAATTCAATCTAAACAAATTAATATTTCTTAGGAAATTATTAATTTATATAGGGGAGACCGGGGCAAGATCGGCATGTTAAGCTTTACTTAAATTTTGTGTAATAAATACTGCTGTAAACTGAAAAAAAAGCTTTGCATATTGTCTATTGGAATGTTACCTTACTATAGAACTGGTTAAAATCAGTTTGGAAATAAAAATAATTAAAATAATTACAACTTTACAAGAAGAGAGAAATTGACGAAGTTGCCCCGGGTATAGGGGCAAGATCGGCAACTTCTCTCTTTTTGTAAAGTTGTAATTATTTTAATTATTTTTATTAAAGTTGCCCCTGGTATAGGGGCAACAGTAATGGGGCAAGATAGGCACGTATATAAAATTATGTTATTAACAATGTATAAGTTGGAATTCACTATTAAAACAAAGAAATACAAATCCAACACCCATTTAATATTATTACAACGAAATGCAAGTTCAAAGACATATATACATGAATAACAAATGCAAACATGTTTTCATTTATCATCTGTTTGATTTTTATCCTTTGCTTCTAATGTGGCTTTATGTTGCCGATCTTACCCCGCTAGTCATGATTTCGAAACATTAAGTACAACCCTGAGAACAGAATGCCAAGCCACGATCTGGCCACGTGAATAAGTTGAAGTTACATCCTTCTAACAGGAAAAGTAACTTTCGTTATCATGGAATTATAACAAAACCTGCCAATTCAATATAAATGGAAAAAAAATATTATATGGAATTGAACGAAAATGAAAATTTGCTTGATAATTCAACTACGCTTGTTGGAGAACAATAAAAACACTACACTCAACAAGCCACCAATAAAACTCAACTGCCTAACCTATAACCAAAGTCTCCTTTTAATTTGTTTTTAAAAAAAAGCGCTTGACAAACTTGCCCCGCATGCCGAAGTTGCCCCGGTCTCCCCTATAATTATAGTTTAATAAAGAAAAAAACACAATAAGATTATTTTAATGAAAAGTATAATAAAATATAAATGTTAAATTATGTTTAATTTATTTTTAAATTGTATTATTTTACCTATTTTTGTTTTTTTACTTGTTAATGCAGTAATTACATACTTCATTTTCAACAAAGTGCATTAACAGATGTTATTCGGTAACTCAAAGCCGAGACTATCCGTTACTGGCATGTTATTTCATAAAATTTAATTTAATAATTTCATAGGAATTAATTAATTTTTATTGATTTATTTAACAATAATTTTTAATGCTATTTTGCTCAACGCCAGGTTAACTTCTCTATTGACTATTACGCTCCTCTTAGATTTTTTCTATACGATAATTCCATTATAAACCAAGCTCGTAATTTTTAATAGTTATCTAAACACATTCCGAATGAGTGAGATTGCTGTCATTTGTTATACTGTTCCTATATACAGTTTTATAACAAAGTTTATGACGAATACCCCATCTGAAATTTCCATTTGGTATCAAACAAAACGTTTTTGGAGTGAGAGAAAATCAAATCAATTCATGCCAATTTTCGTTTGGTATCAGAATTTTTCCTTTCGCTTCTTCCGTGGACATAATTGTTTTGACAACTTATGGGTCCTGTCAAGCGACGAGCAGTTTCCATGACAACCCAAATAAGTGACTGACAGCGTTTGACAAGTCGTATAGACCGGATATATATGTTCATCTTTGAAAGAGTCGACAGGAAAAAAAAAGAAAAAAATTACGACAAATATAGCAAAACGATTCGTTGTTATCTGAAGACACTCATCCTTCACCGAAATGAGCAATTTGAGGATTTCGTGATTTGATAGAAAGACTGTTTTATACCGGTATAATGGATTACCGGATGGCATTCGATAGTAATTTCGCATGATTGTTTCTAGTTCAATATAATTGTAAATTGTTGAATTACATAAAATGAGAACTCGGAAATATTTGTGTTTTGTTCATAAATCTTTAAAAATCTTTCTAAGAAATCTTTTCGCCATAATCTTTTATCGATATCCTCTCTTATTATATTGTAGAAAGCTTCTAAAAACTCGAATAGAACACAAAAATGCTCTAATTTAATTTACGGCCATCAAACATTAAAGAATATTTAATTACATTAAATTGCAAATTAATTATAGAATGTTATTTTATAATATCCTATTACATAGATTTTAATTAGCTGCGTAAAATATATCGTTCGAATTAAATTTAAACGTCATATTTTCATCAATTAATTTAAGGACTGCTCATATAAACGAACATATTTCTAGTTAAAATTATAAGCGTAGTCGATAAACTGTTTATATTTAAGCGTAAATAGGCATATAATAAATATTTACCTCAAGGAATGAAAGTTTTCCTGTCGGTATTGTTAGAACAGACCATTCGATTTTCCCAATTGAGCATTAGAGCGTATAATTTCATATTGTTCCGGTGACTGCTTTCATAAATTTTAATTCTGTACCGCCGAATGCTAGTTACCGTCTTCTGTTATTTTCAAAGTTTGTTTGACGATTAAACAGAAGAAAATTCGTAACAAAATATTTTTTACGGATCCGTATACTGTTTCATCCATTCGGTTATTAAGGCATCGGATTACGATGCCAGAAACAATTTTTCTGCTATAGTACCACGAAACTGTGGCTAGTGTAGAACTAGAAAGAGAAATGTTCTCGATAATAATTTCCGTATTGGATATCGAATTGCCTTTGTTATTTTATATAGAAGGAATTCGAATGAAAGATGGATTAGTCTGGCATTAAAGTTTCTAGAGGCGTTTAAAAACCGAATACGATTGAAGGTATTGCCAAGGTAGTTCTATATCGATTTTGAAGGGTCATCGCTCGCAAGGCGCTTCTTCTTCTATAGTCAAGTCAGTTGTAAAAACGCGAAACGTTTTAACACAGTTTCAAACTGTTATACTCTTTCGTATTCTTATGGGAACGTTTCTAGAGGACCAAACGGAAAGTATTACATTTCATCGACTAAAAAAAAGTTTGTTTAAAAAGGAGTTTCCGTGGCTCGAGGCAATGAAGACAATAGTAATCTAGCATTGTACTTTATCAACTGTTTATCAAATTAGGCTCGGGTGCGTGATGCTTAATCAGATTACCGACAATACCAATCCTTGTAAATATTTCTTGTCTAAGAATTCGCTATAGAAATCAATTATTATACTTTCGTATAGGCCTATATTGTATTTCGTAAATTGAAAGAAATAAAATTTTGTATAACTGCGTTACAGGTTAATAATGCACAAAATCAATATAAAAAAATAATGTAAATAAAAAAATTTCAAAAAAGTAATGTTGAAGCAATTGCAAAACGTAAAAAAACATTTTCGGGTTTGATTAAAATCTAAATATATTAAAAATTTTAAGATAAATATTAGTAAATAGTTAATCCTTTTAAAATCTGAATGGTAGGTAGATGAACTCGAATATGTGTAGTCTGGATCCTCGGGGAGAATCTATATCCGGTAACGTGACGTAGGATAATTGCATTACTTCTCGTAGCACCTCGCTGTTTCTCAACG